TGCGATATTTCAATTGTTTCTCGAACTGACGTGCATCAATCACCTGCTTTTACTGATATAAAGGACATTTTTTCTGAATATCATTTCTCTCCTTAGTTTTACTGATTTTATCCAGAGACTTCATTCTTGACTGCGTGGTACAAAATTTAGGATAATACCTCTTTTGAAAAAGCAGAACACTCGTTTTATATTAGATTTGAGGATGCGGATGGGGGTTTACAGAATAGAGAATAATCGGCAAAGGCAAAAAATATAAAGAAAAGAGAAAAATGGACCAAAAAAAAAATAAAGAATAGCGAATAACCAGGTGCTAAAATATAAAGAATATAGAATAATGGGCAAAAAGTATAAAGAATATAGAAAAATGGCCTAAAAATTAAAGAATATAAAAATGAAAGCGACCCTACCAGACCCTCAAATATTGTACGACTGGAGTTTCCTAACATTTTTATATCTCACCCTGAATTTAGATATTGCGTGGTTTCCGATGTAATTGTTAGCGGCTGATATAAGTGATTCAACGTGTGTCCCGGTTTTATGTTTTATTTGAATTGACATGAAAAACTGCATTAGTCCAATCATGACAACTAAAACAGAATACTTATATCTATTGTTAAGGATGTTCGCTCCTCTTGTTTTTGAAATTTTGCCAGATTTTCGGAATCCTCTGATTTTATCCATGTATTGCCATTAAAAAATGTTGCCCACTAACCCCTACTTTTCTTTTCATAATTTTATTACATATAGTTTAAAAAGCCATATTTGAAAATCTTATAAAATCCTTGTTATTTTTTCATGTTTTTAAAAGAGAAAAGCGGACAATGTTAAAAGTATGAAAACTCTAGAGAGAATCATTTCCCGCCAAATTTTCAATGGCTTATATCTCAAAAGCAAGCACACGGACCCTTAATTTTTTTCTGCTTTTTTGGTTCCTTTATTTATATACTATAAATTTAGAACAGTCTTTTAAAAAGCTTGTTATTTTAAAACAGAGTAGCGAACATCCTTAATTTTTCTGTTATGAGAGTCATTTCATAAGACAAAAGACATTTTATTTCACTAAAGCCCAAACATGGGGTATGTAGTACAACATTTTAACAAACAATAAAAGTGTGAACATAGTCCCATAAGAACAGCATGGTAAACAAAGGTGCAATAGTAGTATATATATAATGAATACTGATATGGGACAAGAAGTACAAATTGTAGTAACATGATTAAGTAACGTTTGTATAAGTACATATATGCGACAAAATAATTTTTACTGTGATGTCCTAATCTATGTCGATACTTATATTCTGGCATTGCGCAAGGTTAATATGGTTTTTTTCTCAGACAGTTAATGGCGTCTTTACACTAAATTCGTTGAACTTGTACTGATGGGTATTTAAGTCTGGGTACACAGGGTACTCACGTGGAATTCACCTCAAACGAGCTTATACGTGAAACTCACGTGAATCACACACACAAAAAAATAGCATTTTTCATGATTTTAGTAAAATTTGAAAAATTAGATGTTATTTGAATAATTTTATTTTGAAAATTCACATGAAAAAGATTCCTGGGATTTTCATGTTAAACTCTCGTGATTTTCACGTGTAATTCACATGACGATGGAATAACCCTATGTAAACATCATGATCATTGATGATGGTTTATTTATAATTTTGTTTTCAAATAGCTTTCAGTGATTACGAGCACTCGTTGATCGGTATTTTGTTTTATTTTTTCTATTCGTTTCTCGATATATAGTAACATCGATGTGCAACGTGTGCATGGTGTGCCATATGATACGTTATCTAGATGTAAGGCCAAGGTAATCTGTTTTAAGTCTCTGGTATTATCTGGGACAATTTCTGACGGTAAAACATGGCTAACTTCAAAGAAAAAGTTGTCCTTATAACAGGTAGGAATCATGTTCTACTATCCGTCTAAACTCTAACTAATATTGAGACACTCATATGCCATAGTTTTCTATAACATGTAAAAATTATCAAGTTTGCTGTAAACTATATAATGCATATGTGTATATATTTTTCAATAGTAATAGATTACTGATCATTACTTACAGACCGACCGAGAGACGTCCTTGGCGATAATTATTACCTAGTCATAAAAATTCATCAAAAAAGGAGACATCAATTCAAAATCACGCTGGAAATTTAATTCTAGTTTAGTTACAAATGTTATAAAAGTTAGGAGAATACCTCTTTTTAAAAAGCAGAACACTCGTTTTACATTAAATTTGAGGGTACGGATGGGGGTTTATGAGATTTGCAATGAAGATTGCGCTGCCCCACCTGTATAATCCCAATTGACCGTTACCAACATTGTTTGTTCAAATTAAGAATAAAACGCCTTCTGATAGAACAAATAAAGAGCTGCGTCATGAGCGCATGATATGCCCGTCGCTTTTTCAAAGAATGAAGTTCTATAACTACTCAATGTCATATCAGAAATTTATAAAAAAAAAACTAAAGGGATGTTATTTTAATAGACATAAACCAGTCATCAATGCTCAAAATATTTTTGAGTTATTGTTCAAAAACTGGGAAAAAAAGTTGGAAAATCCCCCTTTTTTAATGAATAAAAACCCATAACTCGGAAACATAAAATCTAAAATTTCTAAAAATCGAAAGGGAGCTCACGTCAATAGATATAAATAATTCACCAAAGTGTCATGAAAACTCCTCAACGTATTTTTAAGTTATTGTCCGAAAACTGGAAGTTCCCCCTTTTTTTATGAATAACACCCCATAACTCGGAAACGTAACAATAACAAAATTATAAAAACGAAAGGGAGCTCACCTCAATAGATATAAACAATTCACCAAAGTTTCAAGCAAATTGGTTAAAGCGTTTTTGAGGTATTGTCTGATCTGTTGACGACGGACGGACAGACGGACGAACGGATGCGTACGGACAACAGTATACCATATTACGTCCCGTAAACGGGCGTATACAAACTAGTAATATTGTTACGGTTTCATTAACAGTTGGTCTTCGTGAGGTCATCAGGTTGACTATTCTGTCACTTTTGGGTGTGCGCAAAAATAATTTTGAAATACAATTACAAAAAAGGGTGCTATATAAATATTTAACAGTGGTGATTAAAAACAGGGGGCTATTGACCTATTTGTTAGTCAGGAGCCTCTTGAACAACAATCAATGATCAATTATTATGGTATTTCAGTTCAATCAGGAAACTTTATATAAATATTTACGATAAGACGACGAGACGATCTTCTGTCATTATTGTTCATTTTCTTTTGTTTTGTACCGTGCGTATATATATATTTCCCATATCAAGTCATGAATTTCGTGACCACTAATTAATTAAAACCGTCAATAAATTCTTTATTACATACATGTATACCTGTATACCTGTATAACTCTTATTAAGAACTGGATATCACACCCTGATTTTTACTGTGATGTTCTAAACTCTGTCGATACATATATTTTGGCATTGCGCAAGGTTAATATGTTTTTCTCAGACAGTTAATGGCGTCTTATTTTACTCTAAGTTCGCTGAACTTGTACTGATGGGTATTTTAGTCTTGGTAGTTAGACAAATTCTACTCACGTGAATTTCACATAAATCTCACATGGAATTCACCTCAAACGAACTTAAACGTGAAACTCACTCGAAAATTTTCACGTGAATTTCACGCATTAAAAAAAGCATTTTTCATGATTTTAATTTAATCTGAAAATTCAGGTGATATTTGAATAACCTTAGTTTGAAAATTCACGTGAAAAAAAAATTCCTGTGATTTTCATGTTAGATTCACCTGAAATTCACGTGAAAAACACGTGAATGAAATTTCCCTGTGTAAACATCATGATGGTTTATTAATAAGTTGACATTTGTTTTCAAATAGCCTTCAGTGACTGAGAGCACTCTTTAATCGGTACTTTGTTTTATTTTTTCTATTTGTTTCGTGCCGATCTTTCCGTCAAACCTTTTCAAATAAATTTTTAGTTTGTTATTATGTTGTACTGTTACACTTATGTTCAAGGTTACGAGAGGATTGTTTTATCCCGTTTAATTCTTCAATTGTCTACATGTCCCAAGTGAGGAGCCTGAAATTCGTTGATTGCTATTGAATGGTGTCTGCAAGATTTGTTTTTCGTCTATTGTTTATAGCATCAATCAGGCCGTTAATTTTCTCTTTTGAATTGTTTCACATTTATCATACCGGGGCCTTTCTAGTTTAATATATGGTAAGGGTTTTGCTCATTGTTGAAGGTCGCACAATGACCCTTTATTGGTCAAGTGTGGATAGTGTTCTCATTGACAATCACATCAAATCTTATCGTTATAAAATGTATCAAGTATATTGAGTGGTTGATTGTGTTTGCTTAAGGTGGCTCGGCCCTTTAACAGTGCGCAGTTTTTAACGCATGTTTCTAACGACGAGCGCCTTGACAACGATCGCTTTGGGGGGTCTTCTCAACATAACTGTTATGTTATCTTATTGCAATGTTAATTTATATAGACAGGTGTCATCTTTTATTAGAAAGCTAAATAACTTATTGAGATATGTATATTGATTTGTTTAGCACATACTTACAACTTCTCGTCCAATCAAATTGCTTATATTTGCCTTCTAATTTTCAAAATACATACTTTACCCGTGTACTAAGTAACTACGCATGAATGACCACAAGGGTAAGATTTCATTGTATCGTAATCAAGATATTTAAAACAAAAATTACCACTGGCTATTTTGAAATAAAATGCTGTGTTCCAAATTAAATTAAATAGTTTGTAATTAGTTTTCACGTTGATTTTTAAATATCCTCCTATTAATATCTTTGGATCTAAAAAATGTTTTTGACAATTGCAAATTTCTTTCATTTAAATAAAGGGTAATACATATGGTTCTTTATACCTTGATTAGAGTACAACGATATCTTAAAATTATGATAATGTATCATCCATGCAATTACTTTGTACACAAAAAGTGTGTACTATGAAACATCGATGTGCAACGTGTGCATGGTGTACCATATGATACGTTATCTAGATGTAAGGCCAAGGTAATCTGTTTTAAGTCTCTGGTATTATCTGGGACAATTTCTGACGGTAAAACATGGCTAACTTCAAAGAAAAAGTTGTCCTTATAACAGGTAGGAATCATGTTCTACTATCCGTCTAAACTCTAACTAATATTGAGACACTCATATGCCATAGTTTTCTATAACATGTAAAAATTATCAAGTTTGCTGTAAACTATATAATGCATATGTGTATATATTTTTCAATAGTAATAGATTACTGATCATTACTTACAGACCGACCGAGAGACGTCCTTGGCGATAATTATTACCTAGTCATAAAAAATCATCAAAAAAGGAGACATCAATTCAAAATCACGCTGGAAATTTAATTCTAGTTGAGTTACAAATGTTATAAAAGTTAGGAGAATACCTCTTTTTAAAAAGCAGAACACTCGTTTTACATTAAATTTGAGGGTACGGATGGGGGTTTATGAGATTTGCAATGAAGATTGCGCTGCCCCACCTGTATAATCCCAATTGACCGTTACCAACATTGTTTGTTCAAATTAAGAATAAAACGCCTTCTGATAGAACAAATAAAGAGCTGTGTCATGAGCGCATGATATGCCCGTCGCTTTTTCAAAGAATGAAGTTCCATAACTACTGAATGTCATATCAGAAATTTATAAAAAAAAAAAAACTAAAGGGATGTTATTTTAATAGACATAAACCAGTCATCAATGCTCAAAATATTTTTGAGTTATTTTTCAAAAACTGGGAAAAAAAGTTGGAAAATCCCCCTTTTTTAATGAATAAAAACCCATAACTCGGAAACATAAAATCTAAAATTTCTAAAAATCGAAAGGGAGCTCACGTCAATAGATATAAATAATTCACCAAAGTGTCATGAAAACTCCTCAACGTATTTTTAAGTTATTGTCCGAAAACTGGAAGTTCCCCCTTTTTTTATGAATAACACCCCATAACTCGGAAACGTAACAATAACAAAATTATAAAAACGAAAGGGAGCTCACCTCAATAGATATAAACAATTCACCAAAGTTTCAAGCAAATTGGTTAAAGCGTTTTTGAGGTATTGTCTGATCTGTTGACGACGGACGGACAGACGGACGAACGGATGCGTACGGACAACAGTATACCATATTACGTCCCGTAAACGGGCGTATACAAACTAGTAATATTGTTACGGTTTCATTAACAGTTGGTCTTCGTGAGGTCATCAGGTTGACTATTCTGTCACTTTTGGGTGTGCGCAAAAATAATTTTGAAATACAATTACAAAAAAGGGTGCTATATAAATATTTAACAGTGGTGATTAAAAACAGGGGGCTATTGACCTATTTGTTAGTCAGGAGCCTCTTGAACAACAATCAATGATCAATTATTATGGTATTACAGTTCAATCAGGAAACTTTATATAAATATTTACGATAAGACGACGAGACGATCTTCTGTCATTATTGTTCATTTTCTTTTGTTTTGTACCGTGCGTATATATATATTTCCCATATCAAGTCATGAATTTCGTGACCACTAATTAATTAAAACCGTCAATAAATTCTTTATTACATACATGTATACCTGTATACCTGTATAACTCTTATTAAGAACTGGATATCACACCCTGATTTTTACTGTGATGTTCTAAACTCTGTCGATACATATATTTTGGCATTGCGCAAGGTTAATATGTTTTTCTCAGACAGTTAATGGCGTCTTATTTTACTCTAAGTTCGCTGAACTTGTACTGATGGGTATTTTAGTCTTGGTAGTTAGACAAATTCTACTCACGTGAATTTCACATAAATCTCACATGGAATTCACCTCAAACGAACTTAAACGTGAAACTCACTCGAAAATTTTCACGTGAATTTCACGCATTAAAAAAAAGCATTTTTCATGATTTTAATTTAATCTGAAAATTCAGGTGATATTTGAATAACCTTAGTTTGAAAATTCACGTGAAAAAAAAATTCCTGTGATTTTCATGTAAGATTCACCTGAAATTCACGTGAAAAACACGTGAATGAAATTTCCCTGTGTAAACATCATGATGGTTTATTAATAAGTTGACATTTGTTTTCAAATAGCCTTCAGTGACTGAGAGCACTCTTTAATCGGTACTTTGTTTTATTTTTTCTATTTGTTTCGTGCCGATCTATCCGTCAAACCTTTTCAAATAAATCTTTAGTTTGTTATTATATGTTATACTGTAACACTTATGTTCAAGGTTACGAGAGGATTGTTTTATCCCGTTTAATTCTTCAATTGTCTACATGTTCCAAGTCAGAAGCCTGAAATTCGTTGATTGCTATGGAATGGTGTCTGCCAGATTTGTTTTTCGTCTATTGTTTATAGCATCAATCAGGCCGTTAATTTTCTCTTTTGAATTGTTTCACATTTATCATACCGGGGCCTTTCTAGTTTAATATATGGTAAGGGTTTTGCTCATTGTTGAAGGTCGCACAATGACCCTTTATTGGTCAAGTGTGGATAGTGTTCTCATTGACAATCACATCAAATCTTATCGTTATAAAATGTATCAAGTATATTGAGTGGTTGATTGTGTTTGCTTAAGGTGGCTCGGCCCTTTAACAGTGCGCAGTTTTTAACGCATGTTTCTAACGACGAGCGCCTTGACAACGATCGCTTTGGGGGGTCTTCTCAACATAACTGTCATGTTATCTTATTGCAATGTTAATTTATATAGACAGGTGTCATCTTTTATTAGAAAGCTAAATAACTTATTGTGATATGTATATTGATTTGTTTAGCACATACTTACAACTTCTCGTCCAATCAAATTGCTTATATTTGCCTTCTAATTTTCATAGTACATACTTTTCCCGTGTACTAAGTAACTACGCATGAATGACCACAAGGGTAAGATTTCATTGTATCGTAATCAAGATATTTAAAACAAAAATTGCCACTGGCTATTTTGAAATAAAATGCTGTGTTCCAAATTAAATTAAATAGTTTGTAATTAGTTTTCACGTTGATTTTTAAATATCCTCCTATTAAAATCTTTGGATCTAAAAAATGTTTTTGACAATTGCAAATTTCTTTCATTTAAATAAAGGGTAATACATATGGTTCTTTATACCTTGATTAGAGTACAACGATATCTTAAAATTATGATAATGTATCATCCATGCAATTACTTTGTACACAAAAAGTGTGTACTATGAAACCTTGTGAAGGGGAAATTAAAGCAACTTGGTGATAATTTTTTAAACTTTCTTAAGGAAGGTGATCTATTTCGTCATGAATTGATTGATTTATTGATTATCGGTTGCTTAATTTCCAGTGGCAAATATTTCATGCATGTTCAGGACGATGTCATGAATTGAAAAACTGTGATTATGTCTGAAGATAATGTGCCAGTTATATATATATATATATATATATATAAACATATTCTGATAAATCTTTTAGTTTTTACTTTGAAATAATAAAAAAAAAAACAACACAAAAACACAAAACCTATAATCTGTGATCTATTGGTAGTTGCTTTTTAATGCCTATCTGCTAGACTATATCTATGGGGACAAACTATCTATATGTTTCAAATTTATTATAGCTTTAGTTTTACTGTGAAATAAAAAAATGTTTTCAAAACATGTAAAGCTTCCACTGCAATTTAATTATTGCCTGCTTTTGGTCAATTTATTTGGCCATCTTACCATGTAAGAAGAACATGTATAGTAAAACACCGCTTTATATCAATATACATACTTACACCAGCAGCTACCATCTTTTCATTCTGGAGTCAAGGGCCTTTTGGAATAACATATTTTACAATGATACTAGTGAGTAGATTTACAAAACTTCGTTAATGAGCTCCGTTTTACAAACACCTGTGATACAAGTAGTCAGCCAAAATAAACTATCAATAGACCAATTAAAAGATTACTCGAGTTGTAAATATGTGCTAAATTGGATAGTCTATGAAAAGGTATAAACTATGAAATTAACAGCTCGGGGCAAGCCCCTCGCTCTAAATTTCATAGTATATACCTTTTTATAGACTAACCTAGACATGAATTTTTATTTGTTTTTGTTTTTAAATGTTACCATTGTATTATAAATCATGTTTATCATTGTATATTGACCTCATGTTACACATGTGTGTCTGAGCGTTGCTTTACAATAAAATCTTTAAAAAAAATCAAAAGTAGTGTTGACGACATTGGAACGCGGACGTGTCTGAGAGCACCCTTTCCCGATGTCAACAAACGATGCAAAACTTTCTTCAAAAAGGAAATACGGTCAGAAATACGGAGTGGTTTGTTCATTTTTCACATAAAAAGGACATAAATATACATGATATTAGCATAACATTAAAAAAAAAGAAATTATAAATATTGACACGTACGACGGTATCTGGTGCGTACGCTCCGAAAACACATTCTCACCCTACACGTTCGATCCTTGGATCCGTTCGCACCCTATTTTCATTTAAATACCGGTTGAATAATAGATGTCTTTTAGATGTATATATGAAAATATTTTGTCAATGACGAAATGTTTAACCGTAAACAAAGGATAGCGATGTAAAGAACTGCATGTCACCGTACGGCTTTAAAAAAACGAGTAAAACCCATATAGTATGCTACATGTATATATATATATGCCTTCGGCTGTTGTCTGCTCTATGGTCGGGTTGTTGTCTCTTTGACACATTCCCCATTTCCATTCTCAATTTTATAGTATAAAGGCATCGGGGGTTCATCTGCACGCTATCCGTTTGGCGTATTATAAAATTTTGTTACTGCCATAAATCTCTTTTTTTACTTGAAATATCTTCATTTCCAAGTATTGGTAGGATTTTATTCCGGAGTATGTGAAATTTTTTCTCACTGCAAAATTTTGATAATAGTTTTGAACTATGACAATTTTCAAGCAAAGACTAAATACATGGCAGTCACACCTAACATTTTTATTTAAAGATTTATATACTTTATTAACTCATGGGCACAAAAATATCTATCAAATTTTCTCGTATCATAATTCTATGAATTACGGAACTCTAGTCCTTTAACGTACATGTAAGACCTCGGGTATTATGATATTTTCCTTTTACTTATTTTGCTATTTTCTTAATT